CGTGAAGCACTCTACTATGGAGTCAATATAATGCCACATATATATGCAAAATAATAAAGTTTTGCAAACGAATATAAAAGTATTGAGAAAAAATAAATGTGCTTTTTGCAAACAAAAATAAAGAATTGCAAAAGAAAATGAAGTACTGCGAGAAAAAAAATAAGTTTTGCAAACAAAAATAAAGAACTGCAAAACATAAATGAAACAGCACAAAAGCAGCATATATATGTGGCATTATATTGACTCCATACCATGTAAGACTACAGAAGAGCATTAGGCCACAAACATAAACACAGCTGGGAGTGACATGTGTGTGCTAAAAACATATGAACGCAACAGTAAACAAACAAACGCACACGTTTAGTAAGATATCTCAAGGAGGACTTATCAAAGACATATATTGTTTTACAATAAAGTTATGAGATACATACAGCTCTTTCTATTTTAGAGGTGGAGAATTAATAATCTAAAGCAACTGTATACACGTTCTTTCTTTGAATTAAAAGTTTCTAAATCATTATAATGGTACATTGACATTTAATATCGCAAATATCTTGTTTCTTTCCGACACTCCCGCCAAATGTCTGTTCTTACATACTGTTCGGTGAGCGGGTACGAAATTCCGCGAAAAGGGCCGACTGCTTTACGGCATCAATGCACGTATACCATAGCGATCCACTGTAATTACGACAGTGATATATTTACGACAGTGAATTTTACTTAACTGTAGGAGGCTCTAAAATCGCAAGAATACACACTACTGCAGGGGTGTCCAAACTCAGTCCTGGAGGGCCGGTGTCCTGAAGAGTTTAGCTCCAACCCCAATTAAACACACCTGAACCAGCTAATCAAGCTCTTACTAGGCATACTAGAAACTTGAAGGCAGGTGTGTTGAGGCAAGATGGAGCTAAACTCTGCAGGACACTGGCTTGGGCACCCCTACACTACTGCATACAGTCGCGTTAATATCTTTATGAATCACGTTTTGCAACTGAGAGTGATCCTAAAAGGGGTTTCCCCCACAATTACCTAGCATTTGTATTCAATTTCAGCAATTTTGACTGCGAAAGTACAGTTAGTGATTTTCACACTACCAATTTTGAGGCAAATTTGTAACCATTCCGATATTGAGAATTGCTTCAAATTTCTTTGTTGACATCTGTACATTTGTGGGGATATTTTTGAAACCAAACCACGCTTATCCATTTTCCCTCATATAACAAACATGCCTTATTGTGTTCTTGTTCGTTTCCAAACTCTTGATTAGCCACATACATATTTCCATCTATCCCTTAGGTCAGCACTGCACAGTTAAGTGTTCTTTTGTTTAACTCTAATCTGGCATGGTAACATCATTTGTTAAGCACCACTCGGCGTAAAAGCCATATCAGCTCTAAATGTGGGCCATTTATGAATGACGTTGACCAGCTCATTTTCACAGCAACCAAGTTTCCTGTTACTATAGCAAGATGCAGAGAGGGAAGTCCCACCTGGGCCAGGCAGAACAAGCAGGACCATGAAGCCAGAACAAGAACTATATATAGTTATAGTTCTTCCTATATAGGGATAGATAGATAGATAGATAGAATACCTCAGGCCTTAACGCAGAAATTGACCCCTCATAATTAATTTGGTGTATATTTTGAACTGAGCAATACGTTTCCACTAAACGTTATTAAATCGTGTGGAGTAACGAGCTTTTATTTGTGCTGTCAGAGCATCTGACAGCCTCGTTAGCTCCCATTTCGCCCTGTCGGCTCACAGTTAGCCACGGACACAAACCTCCCCTCTCCATTTACCGTGTTATTGCTGCCAGCACCGCGCATCACGATCAGTCACTGGCGCAGCGTCGCTGGCAGGTGTCAATCATTTCATCCTGCGTCTACAGTCGATAGAATTTCAGGGGTCAATTCTGCGCGCGCACAAATATATTCCATCAATTGGCGTTTAATTTTAAAGAATGGAAGACGTTGTCTAAATTATAAGAGAAAACGTTTTCTGTCCATATTAGTCCACCAGCTATGACACCTGTGTGTATTTGGGAATCTGACTTCATACGTCCATCAGAAAAAACTATTGGATCATATGTTGCAGATGCGAAATAGTTTGAAATTCTAAAATAATTACATTTATAGATTCGTAAACGCCTCCAAACAGCCTACAATTGTACAATAAATCTGTCAATTAAAAATAACTATTGCATGTTTATCATTAGAGTTTCCATGCATGCCAGATGATTGTTGAGCTTTGGGCTGGCCGCTAAATCTTTATTCTCTGGCTGTGCTTTCAGATTGTGGGTCGTATTCAGGCTTGTCACATTGATGTAAAGCGAGTTTCTAACATCCAGGGCTTTGCTGTCTGCCCCGGACAAATTGATTGCGATCAGCCTGAGGGAATTCTGCTAATGTCTCTGTCCGGGGCCGCGGGGTGGACTGCTTAAATTAAAGAGGGGGAGAGATTCACACATATTGCTGAAAAACCGAAATACACGTAATACGCATCACAAAGCCATCAGCAACTGGGACGACAAGGACCTGAAGGTAGAGATTTGAAGAGACCCCCTATGTACTCATAAAGCAATTAAATACAATCTTAATCTGTTAAAATCTAATTATGGGTGCAGAAAGGTGAGAAATAGTAAGAGTGCTTATGGGGAACTGGTAACGCACTTTTGTTTTCAAGAAGACCCAAGAGAAGAAAAACTGAGCTTTGTACATTCAAACACGACGACAATGCATAACCCAAAATAGTCTGATGTCTATAAACCCTGGTCAATCCTGAACATGTTTTACTGTCTCCAAGCAAAAGCAGCAGTAAACAGAAGATCCATGACATGCTCACGTGCTTCGTCTGCGTGGATAGTTGCGAGTTAAAGGCCGGTCATTAGAGAAGTTATTCCAAAAGCAGACCAACAGGCATTGCCTGAAAAGCAAGAAAAGTGCGCATCCCTTCTGCCTTTTTGGTTGAGACCTGAAAAAGCAGAAGGTATATACTTTAAAAGGCGAATCAATTAAAATGAAATCCATAATTTTACTAATATTTTAATACAAGGCATATAAGGTTTTGAGGTTATACGTGAAACAAAAAAAAACTAAAAAAACTCAGACATTCATGATAGTACCTCGACATAAAATACCTTAAAATATGCTTTAAAACTTTATTGAAATACGTATGAAGTTTACATTCTAAATATTGTAAAGATTGCAAGGAAAGTATTATGCTACTTTTCACGTGATTAGCAATTTTCAGTGTCGTTCATTTTTAGAAAACGTTAAGAACGTATTAAACCAACATAAATATAAAAATGATCTACATTTTCAAGAACTAGGCACAAATGTCGCAAAAAAAAGTTTTATTTTGATCTTGGACTCATTTACACTCACATTTGTCAGCAAAACGTTTCCTAGTGCAGGAAAAATAAAGGGTGTTCTACATAAGGAAAAAATCTGATAAAAAATAATGTAAACAAAAATCTTAAATGTTAAATTAAATATAATCACAAACATCTTGTCTGCACATATCAAACTTATTATTGAAACTATAACACTACCTTACATAAAAACGTGTTATTGTTGCTATAGAGTAATATATGTATGTGTGTGTGTGTAGAGAGAGAGAGAGAGAGGGAGAGATGATGCTGCGAGGCCGGTTGAACAGATTTTCCTTCACGCCTGGTCGGGTTCTTGAGAGTGGGGCGTCGTGGAGCAGGGAACGGAGGCACCTGGCCCGGCCGCTGCGCAGCGTCTTCTTTTATTGACAGCATGATAAGCCGTGCGGTTTCCAGCGATCACCTGGAGAACCCTGCAGCGTTGCACGGTTTCTGTGGTCCTTAATTGTGGTTACGTCAAACAAAGGTCTGAATGATGCTCGTGCGCCCCATACCTGCTCCATACGTCCTAAAGAACCAACACAACCCATTCATTTCCTGTGAGACACACCGCGGAACTGTTGCGCATTTACGCACTATGGACAAGTGACATCTGTAGACACGTCATATGAAGTAAATACTCTGTTTCTTCACCTTTATTCCATATTTTAACGGGCTCTGAGCTTCTGTCTTTTAACTGCATAAATATAGTTAAATGCGCAACAGCTCTCCATTCAGGACAAAATAGTCCAGAAATAGTCGTAAAGAGCAGGAGTGATGGACACTAAAGAAAACCACACACAACCAGCTATGTGGAAACAAACACTTTCACTAAACGTGCTGTTGTACCGGTTAACCATTTGATTTTCCACCTGAATGAGTAGGGTAAATAAGATCTCCGTGACGCCTTGGCCAATATTTGCTTAACAGACGGATAGCAACCTGGGATCAAAAAGAAACACTGGAAAAATAACGTTTAAAAATGTCACGTTTTTTTTAAATAAAAACAGCCTGGACTTCTTTTTCCTTCAAATATTGACAGGCCTACAGGGTATTCAAAATAGTCAAAACATGCATTTCTGAAATTATTGTAGCAAAGCTAATTATTTTCAATAAGCCTTGTTGTGCATATGGAAAAATATGTGATGTTCTTAATCAGCAAAACAGAATACATAACTCTTTTTATTATTTTCTTTCTTTTTTAAATCAATATATTTGTTAGTGCATTTGAAATATATTTTATTCATATTCTTCATTATCATTATACTATTATATTTTAGGTTACGTTAATATCAAATTACTATTTATTATCCATTTTTAAATTGAGTATTTCATATGTTAAAAATTGCAATCGCTTAACATTTTGTATCAAAGAAAAGCCCAGAAGCATGTCTTCTTTAGGAAACACATTATTTAAAACAGAAGCATAACACTGCTAATTCTTCACTGGAAATGTAGGGCATTAATCATGCCAGGTCTCGCTAATGTGAGCGCATGGAGTTCCCCATGATGTGCTGCATGCATGGCTGTATGAGAACTATTTTCCAGCGTGACGTTGCGCGTCATCTGACCAATCGGTGGCGAGCTGTGGCTGATATTAAGAGAAAGTTTACAGTGAGTGAGGGTTACACCGTTTTTTTCATTCTCACTGATATTTCCACTCCGAACGGGATTCAAACGTGACACACAATCTGGACTCATGAGATCGTTTTAATTCATTCAATCGCAAGGGCTTGAAACAGCAGGATATTGATCAGAAATCAGAAATATCCCGGTAAGTTAAGATCAAATATTGCATGTTTTCCCCCTCCGTCCTCAAAAAAGGAAATGCACGGTCTGTCTTCATTAGGAAAATACGTTTGGTTGCGTCTAAAATTTTAATCTATGATTGCGATTTCACTATGAATGTCTTATTTGAAACGCTGCATGATAATATATCACAAACCAACGATATACATTAATGTATTCACAAAATATTCAGATTGGCTCAGTGGAACTAGTTGACGGATTTGGACAAGACTATAATGTTTGCATATGGAATGGTTATTTTAGTGAGCTACATTTCCATGCAATTGAATGAATCGCGTCAATTCATTAATGCAGGTACAGACAGCTACAGTACACACATTACATCACTTCAAAATGCATTTTGAATTTTTTTAAAATATATTTTTATTAGAGTAAAAACATCTTCCGCTCTAAAGAACAGTTTTTGCTTTGACTGAAACGCACATTATAATGTGATTAAGTTAAAGAAGAAACGTAGAAATGTAAAAATTGCCTCCATTTTCTCAAAGCGATTTAAATGACTAATTTGCTTAACACTACTACTAATAATTAAAATAATTATGTTATATTTGGTGTTTTTCTAGCCTATTATAATTGAATGTTAAACGAGCCTTTTTAATGTTAAACAAATTATCATCAAAACTTATAAAAAAATCAATCATTTAAATAAGTATTACATGAAAAAGATGAAGTAAAAATGGAAATTGGTGGCAAGTAAACTTTGGCCGCAGAACTTTAGCCTGTGTCTATACTGATTTATATTTTTTCACTCTTTTATTCGTGTTCTCCTGAAGAATGACGCCAGGCCCCACGTTCTCCTTTTCTAAAAAGTGGTTCCAGTGACCACTTTACCCAAGAGCGAAACAGCTACGAGATTAGGGATTACTTTTCAGACTTCGTTTTAGCAGTTACTAATCCCAATTGGGCTAATAGCTTTGCGTGTAAAATTGCTATCTCAGGGTCCGTGTGATGCGCTGGGGTTGTATGGCCTGGAGGGTGATGCCCCCTGAATTAGACCACAACCTAAATACACCTCATTAACACGGAGAGGATTTACAAGTTATCTAAAGGAGGAATCAACAGCCAGGGCACAATTACAAAGTTTAGGGCATTCTATTTGTCGACCATTTGGAACAATAAAACTGGGTTAGTATGCAGTGCAGTGTCTTTGTCACTTTCGAATAATACTAAAAAAAAACAGAGTAGCCTACATTCAAAAATGAATAATTTTAAAGCGGATTATTGAGTATAATCGGAAAAGACCAAAACAAAGATTAGAAGAGCTAATTGTGGAAACATTTGGAGGAGTAAAACAGAAACTCTGCAGGGCCTGAAAAGGGACAGAGCCGTTTATTATCCGTTTCCACTGAGGCTTGAGTTTACTCCTTGGCAGTGTCGTTTTTCTCCTTTTTGTGACACAGTCAGGGACGCGATAAACGGCAAGTAGCCTAACAAATTGAATTAAACGCTAAAATTGAGAAAAAAAAAAGAAAAATGGTCTTTTATTTTTATAACTTCGAAAAATCTTTAATTTTTTTTATACAATGTATAGTAAGTAACAATAACATCGATACAGTTATTTTTTAAATATAGGCTAATTCAAATAGAACTGTATTATTCAATAGCTGCTTATGTAAACACTAACGTACTTTAAACCGTGACCTGCATATTCACACTTTTGAGAGCCAATTGTAATGAGAAAACACATAAGATAAAAGAGAGAAACACACACACACACACACACACACACACACACAGGTTTGTTTTTGTGAAAAGTGGGGACATCCCATAGGCGTAATGGTTTTTATACTGTACAGACCGTATATTCTATTGCCCTACACCAACCCTACCCCTAAACCTACCCCTTACAGGAAACTTTCTGCTATTTCAGATTTTCAATACACTCCATTCTGTGTGATTTATAAGTGTGTTGAAAAGTGGGGCCATGGGGTAATGTCCTCAAAAGTCACCTTCTCCTTGTAATACCTATGTCATACCTTTGTCATTATACAAATTTATGTCCTCATTTGTCACAAAAACGCGCGCGCGCACACACACACACACACACACACACACAATTCTGAGTGAGCTCAAGCCCAGTGGTGAGATATAAGCAGTGCATCTCACAGAAACAGATTGAAGTAATCCAGCACCATATAAAGCAATATTGAGTGAGTTTGAGAGGGGGCGCTCATCATTTGCATGCGCGGACTGATTAGTTGGTTCAAAAGTGGCCTGTTTTCTGTTCTGTGATGGCAGAGGGTCAGTGCTTCTCTAATGGGCCGGTAAAGCGCTGCAAGCGGGAACAGACAGACTAAATACATCAGTACTATCACCAATCAGCATAGGTGTGTTCAGCTCTGTCTTTCTCTCACTGCGTGAGCCTTGACTTTCTCACTCTCTCTCTCTCTCTCACTCACTCACTTCACATGCGAGCACACACACACCCTCCTCACTCCCTGAGCAGTCCTGACATCTCCGCTCACTGTCAATCTGTGTCTCCTTCGCAGGGAATTTCCTTCCAGACAGAGGAACGCTGGAAAAAACATATATTCTGAGAAGAACTTACTATCGGAGACAAATTGTTTATTTCCCTGTTTCACCAGTTGGCTCGGAAGGGCTCAGGCGGTGGAGCAGAATGCCTCAAAAAGGTGAGTGCGCGTGTTAAAACGAAAAGTTAGTTGTTAGTATGGGATCCAGAATTTTATTGAAGTGATCCACCACATTTTTATTATTTATTATTGATATTAGGTTTACTATCAGTGGTGTTGCCGAGTGATTAAATAAAAACGTGCTCGCCTTATTAATAGTTTATATGCTTACTCAAAAACGAAATAAAGCTGCGCTCTCAGATTCTGCTGTAGCCTATTTGTTTCTGTCTACTTTTTTAGACAGAAGCCACTGCTGTATGTGGATAGTACACATTGTATCTATGAGAGGAAAGTGTTAGAAGTCACATTAGGCCCGAACAGTGTTTTTTTATTTTTAATATTTTGCGGAGCACGGGAATGCAATGACCCGTTGAGGAAAGATGTCAGTTTGATTCATCAGCCGAGCGCCTTCTTAAAGATTTGCCTGAATCTCGCGAGGACCTGCTTGTTTGTTAGTCTTTGCATTTTAAGAATATATAATATATAGAGTTTACGATTTTTAAAAATAGTCCAGATAATATAGTTCAGTGCTATTGGACAAATGCCCCGTCAAGACTAAAGCGTGTCACTTCTATGTTAAATATGTAGCCTAAAAATAAACATCAATATATTGTCCGAATGCAATTAATTAAATAAAATGATTTAGTAATTCACAAAATTTTATTGACTTAAAATTCTTTAAACCATAACAGCGGACTCGTTTATTTTAGCATCCAGCATATATTCACCAGGCCTGCTTATTCTACTAAATGTACTTTGTTTTTCTATGGCATTGGGACGCTCAAGTCCTCATAAACATTGACTAAATAAATGTAGCTCCAAATAACAAAAGATTTCCCCATCGATGGCAGTATAAGATGATTAGGGCATGTTAATGTCAGATCCTTCAAAACTTCCCACTGCGCTTTTGTACACATCCAGATGCATGTCTGCATGTGAATGATGTTTATGAAGAACACTGTTTCCTGAATACGCATGTTTAATTAAAGCAATTGTAGTTAAGGATTACACAAACGAAAGAAATGCAGATGAGATCCTAGTTAACCTCATAAACAACAACAACAGTCTCCAATACGACGTTAGATCAATCATTAACGGGAACACGCAGAGTCTATGCGTATTAAAAGAGCGCAAAACAATTAACATTTTACTGTGATTAAGAGATTTAATCGGTACATTAGGTTTTAAAGGTGTTTTGAATAGCGGGTTGTTTCTATTTCACGAAACTTTTTTTTTTTTTTAATGAGTCTTGTTATATTCATTTTATTTACTTATTTTTTATAGATACGACTATATCAACATTGATGAAGGCATATGACATATGTATTTAAAAATGAATTAATTTTAAAATCAGAAAATTACGCAAAAATATTTAAATTGCATGTGTAAGTAGTAAAAAGTTTCTATATCGTTGTAAATTAAGAAAATGTAAGAGATTAATGTAAATAAAATTTGGAGAAAAAAAAAAATCAACAAAATGTTGCAGGGGGAAAAAAACTTTAGAACACTTAATTTAAGTGTAAAATAGGCTAATGCTTATTACAATTATTTAAATGTACTGATAAGTTAAAGTTGATCAAACTTAGGAACAGTGTTTTTTTATTTTTAATATTTTGCGGAGCACGGGAATGCAATGACCCGTTGAGGAAAGATGTCAGTTTGATTCATCAGCCGAGCGCCTTCTTAAATATTTGCCTGAATCTCGCGAGGACCTGCTTGTTTGTTAGTCTTTGCATTTTAAGAATATATAATATATAGAGTTTACGATTTTTAAAAATAGTCCAGATAATATAGTTCAGTGCTATTGGACAAATGCACCGTCAAGACTAAAGCGTGTCACTTCTATGTTAAATATGTAGCCTAAAAATAAACATCAATATATTGTCCGAATGCAATTAATTAAATAAAATGATTTAGTAATTCACAAAATTTTATTGACTTAAAATTCTTTAAACCATAACAGCGGACTCGTTTATTTTAGCATCCAGCATATATTCACCAGGCCTGCTTATTCTACTAAATGTACTTTGTTTTTCTATGGCATTGGGACGCTCAAGTCCTCATAAACATTGACTAAATAAATGTAGCTCCAAATAACAAAAGATTTCCCCATCGATGGCAGTATAAGATGATTAGGGCATGTTAATGTCAGATCCTTCAAAACTTCCCACTGCGCTTTTGTACACATCCAGATGCATGTCTGCATGTGAATGATGTTTATGAAGAACACTGTTTCCTGAATACGCATGTTTAATTAAAGCAATTGTAGTTAAGGATTACACAAACGAAAGAAATGCAGATGAGATCCTAGTTAACCTCATAAACAACAACAACAGTCTCCAATACGACGTTAGATCAATCATTAACGGGAACACGCAGAGTCTATGCGTATTAAAAGAGCGCAAAACAATTAACATTTTACTGTGATTAAGAGATTTAATCGGTACATTAGGTTTTAAAGGTGTTTTGAATAGCGGGTTGTTTCTATTTCACGAAACTTTTTTTTTTTTTTAATGAGTCTTGTTATATTCATTTTATTTACTTATTTTTTATAGATACGACTATATCAACATTGATGAAGGCATATGACATATGTATTTAAAAATGAATTAATTTTAAAATCAGAAAATTACGCAAAAATATTTAAATTGCATGTGTAAGTAGTAAAAAGTTTCTATATCGTTGTAAATTAAGAAAATGTAAGAGATTAATGTAAATAAAATTTGGAGAAAAAAAAAAATCAACAAAATGTTGCAGGGGGAAAAAAACTTTAGAACACTTAATTTAAGTGTAAAATAGGCTAATGCTTATTACAATTATTTAAATGTACTGATAAGTTAAAGTTGATCAAACTTAGTTTTACATGTCAAATGAACATTTTATCAGGCATTAGTTCTTCAGTCTTGGGAAGAGAGCGAATGGAAACGGACACACCGGTTTTGTTATTTCAGCGTCGGGAGAGAAAATGAAACGAAAGACTTTCCTTCCCTGGGCCCCTTTTTAGCAATGTCACTGAATAGATCCTTTATTGCAATTGTTTTTTCCAATTGAGCACCCTACTGGGCTGTTGCATCCTTTTACAACCCCTAACAACCCACACCCGTTACACAAACACCTCCAGATATTTATAACGCGAAATTACTTTTCTATTTCCCCAAACAGAAACACGCATTGGGGTTCGGGCACCGGGGTCATGGCCGTCAGGAAAGTGGAGAAAAAAAAAAATCAACAAAATGTTGCAGGGGGTAAAAAACTTTAGAACACTTAATTTAAGTGTAAAATAGGCGAATGCTTATTACAATTATTTAAATGTACTGATAAGTTAAAGTTGATCAAACTTAGTTTTACATGTCAAATGAACATTTTATCAGGCACTAGTTCTTCAGTCTTGGGAAGAGAGCGAATGGAAACGGACACACCGGTTTTGTTATTTCAGCGTCGGGAGAGAAAATGAAACGAAAGACTTTCCTTCCCTGGGCCCCTTTTTAGCAATGTCACTGAATAGATCCTTTATTGCAATTGTTTTTTCCAATTGAGCACCCTACTGGGCTGTTGCATCCTTTTACAACCCCTAACAACCCACACCCGTTACACAAACACCTCCAGATATTTATAACGCGAAATTACTTTTCTATTTCCCCAAACAGAAACACGCATTGGGGTTCGGGCACCGGGGTCATGGCCGTCAGGAAAGTGACAGTGGATGTTGTGTGTGTGTGTGTGTGTGGATGGTCGTCTGGGGGGCAGGGCGCCCTCGGCTCTTTGTATTCGGGCAAGTATTGGTGCGTTTGGTGGGAGGTTGTGTTGCTAGTTGCAGAGGCCGAGTTGTGCTGGCTGGGTTTGGGTATAGAAGGTAAAAGAGGCGCATTGTTGAGCTCCAGCAGGCTTTGTTAGGATCCTCTCACCCCCTTCACTTTTCAGAGCACTGATGCGAAGTAGACAGCGTGTGTCACTGTACACTTTTGACGGGAAGATCTAAAGAGGAACATTTGTTTTACAGACCACCAAGATATTGAGACGCTAAAACTATTCTATTCTCTATTCTATCCTTTTATATTTAATAGCGCAGGTTAAGTTTTTCTATTTTATGTGCCAAAACTAAACAAATGACAGGTGCAAAAGACTGCGTAGCCTATAAAGTACCTATATTAAAAATAAATCAAATAGGCTTTGTATGCATTTAAAATAGGACTGAATACAAATCATTCTAATATTACTCTTTTGCTCTATCCTAGGAATGATCTAAATAGTCAGACGCAAATGAAGGGCTAAATTGTTTTAATCGGACAGTCAACTCTGTTACCAGGCAAGTTTTTAACGCTGAAATTCACCTAGAAAGGATTATTATCAAATACATCACTTGACTCCTTTATGCGTAGAGATGCATCGGACATATATGCAACGCCGCAATTGTTGCAAAACTGCAATAAAAAAAAATGTGGATTTCACAACTAACCCTATTTATTTTCTTTGTCATAAATAGAATACCATAACCAACCCACGTGGGAATCAGGAGTGGCGTCCATGATGCAAAACAGTAAGTGCAATTCTTATGTGTATTTTCTTATTAATAAAGATAGCTGTTTATTCAATGGCGGATTGTTTTATTTTCATCTACGATTACATTTGAATTGCATTGCATTTCTGACGGGAATTAAATATTTGACAAAACATGCGAACGTTTGAATTATGGTAAAATTGTGAGGCGTTAAAATCCTTACAGAAAATTCCAACACTTTTTTTTATTATTACTTCGTGTCGATAATTAAAAGAAAAGCTATACGGATGCAAACTGCATTTTACATATATGTCAAGCATAAATAAATGAAATGCTGATGGGGGAGGAGATGTTTATTTCTGCTTGAGTTGGTAACAAATGCAGCTCTGGCTGGATTAATGCAGAAAATAGTTGCCAACTTCTACAGAGGACTTGACAGTGCCGAAACAGCTAGTGCACGAAAAGGGACACACGAAATAGTTTGATGATTGCAGGATTTGATTTCAGGATTTTCCGTGCTTGCTTGAGGGGGGGAAAGAGAGTTATGTTATTCTGTAAACGGCACAACATCACTTAGTTTATGCATTTGTCTCTTGCCTTAGGATCTGACATATGATAAATGCTTCTGGAACGATTTCTTTGTGATTATGTAATGTAATTATAGACTGGTCAGTCATATGGAAATATAAAACAGAACTCAAATAGTGAATAATAAAATATATAGAAAGATACAGTGAGGAATGAGGCAGGATATTTTAAAATATATGTAATTAAATGTAAAAACACATATCACATTTAAATGCATGCACCAAATTATTTTGTTTTAAATCTCCAATTTGGCCTGGATATTTAGCATTAATGTTCGAAATTCACAACATATGTTTCCCTATTAGTAGGGGAGCAATAAAATACAAGTCTCATTATGACTGCCACCAGGCCAGGTCTACAGTCCTACACCATGGGGAATTATATGATTATTAAGACTTAACCTTTGAACTGTGAAATGACAGGCCTGGTCATGTTTCTCTGTGATGGTGACATCAATCAAATGGATTCATTTGATAAACATGCACGCCTTCGTATACGTTCAAGAGTCTATTAAATCCATCTAATCCAGGAATTACTGAAGAGTGAGAGGATGACAGTGGATTATTCCACTGGATTTGGACCGATTACCACATGTTTGTTGTGCAGTATCAGTGCTTAAATAAATCAGGTTCATTCAAATTAGTCCAGTTGGATGTGGTATTTAAAATTGAGTTTTTTAACTGAATAGGCTTTATTCATGACATGCCTGAAAAACCAATGAGTTTCAAAGGCTCAGAGCTGCACAGTTTCACTCACCCCCCCCCCCCCCCCCCCTCCCCCCACACTTTAAATGGAAGATATTTCAAATTTAGAGGCTCTTTTCAATGGTGCATTTCCCACAACAGGACTGTAGCAGATGTGGGGTTTGTTACAAACAGTACGACGGACTGAAAAAAAGAGAAGCTTTGTCAGTTTTAATATGTTTAGAAATATGCACGCCTCTGTCCTCTTGCCTGTGCATTGCCCCTATAGCTAGCAATAAAACGAAGCCTCCCTTGAAGGCAACAAGAGCAGGATCCAATTTTGTCTGATATCCAAATGCAGACAGAAAGGGTCGTTTTATCATGCTACTATTTGTCGTGACGATGCGTTTTTCAAAAGCAGAGCAGTGTCATATAAAGTGACAGTCCTGCCACAAGTACTTCAGCTGATCTTTTCAATGAGCCTTCCATGCATGATCCGAGGCGACCTCCGCCTATTTCCAGAAATTAAGCTCAAACTTGACATGCAGCTAGCTTTATTTTAAAGACAAATGTCAGAGAGTCTCATCATATTTTCCCCCCTCTTCTTCTTCTATATTTGGAGCTTATTTATTGCTTAGGAGCTCGGGCTCCTGCAGTCAGACGAGAGAGGAGCAGAGAGCTAGAGCACACACACACTCCGGGGAGGCTTTTCGTAGGGAGTTTTTTTTGCTCGCTTTGAATTGACTTTTCACTGGACTTTCACATCGCATCAAAAATACACTGAACTGGTATGCGCTTTTCATATTCTTCTGAGCTTTGCGGGTCCTGTTTTGCTTTAATATGTAGTTATTTCACACATTGCTGTTTTGATGAAAAGCATCACTGTCGTATGCTTGGACTCTTTCAGACTGGCTGTTGTACTTGAATGCCGACGGGTGCTTATTTATTGGGGATTTGATTGTCTGGTGTGAACGAGAGTTTCCAAACACTGGTGCACGGTCTTGCGGAAAGCTGTTCTCTTGAGGACAGTTTGATTATGAAATTTCAGTTCACTTGAATGGAGATGTTCATTTCATCAGTCGGTTGTGTGCGTCGATTGATTCCAGCCGACATTCAAATGTTGATTTACAGGGCACAACGACTTGTGTAACAGCTTTCAAAACTGTTGGTTTAACAAATGCAAAACTTGTTTTGGATTATTAACGATGGTCAGATAAAGTTGATTATTAATTGAAAAAATTTTCCTTTGTTGGTCACACAAAATATATCACATGACTGAATCACCAGGGAATTTTTAAAGGTCAGATCAGATAGCTTAACAAATGCACATTTTTACTTTTTCCATTGTATATTTAAGATATTTTAAATTTAGAGGCTCTTTATTATTCATTTAAAAAATGCAAGTTTACTTTGTTTGTCACACTTATTTGTGTAAGCAGCAAAATGTATTTAATGAGCAATTATTTAGTTGTTATTTCACTGTTGTTGATTTATTATATAACATGGACATTGTGATGTAAAAATACACTTTTTCAGTCTTATCTGACTCGGTTTGTCAGTAACGCTGATCAAAGAAAAGCTCCAAGAAGTGGAGCTTTATTCTGGACAATGGGACACCTATTGAGGCAATGTTTTCGAGTGGAAAGACGAGCCAATTTGTTATGTCTCCATGTGCCACAGGTCACAGTGGCGTCAACCAGCTCGGCGGGGTGTTTGTGAACGGCAGACCGTTACCGGACTCCACCAGACAGAAGATCGTCGAACTCGCTCACAGTGGAGCGCGACCCTGCGACATCTCCAGGATTTTGCAGGTGACCGTGAAGCCCATTTGTACATCCACAAACTTCATAGGTGCTAGTGGAATAATAACACTTAGTTACAAGTCAAAATCACGGTCACTTTCAATCAAGTAGTGCAGCTAAATAAAATGGATCACACATTATGCATTCAAAGAATGTGCTATTCAGTTGTATTGCGCAGCAAACAAACAAACACTAACGTAAAGTGTGACCCGAAACGTAATGAAATCATCCTAGCAATTTTAAGGCATATTTTCTGTGTTCATAGACCCATGATGATGCAAAAGTCCAACTGGACAATAAGAACGTAAGCGTATAACCGTTTGAAGTACATTACATTATTTCAATTTAGTTTTAAATAATGTATGTGAATTGTGTATATTGCTGTCCATTCAGGTGTCCAATGGGTGTGTGAGCAAGATTTTGGGGAGATATTATGAGACCGGCTCCATCCGACCACGAGCCATCGGAGGCAGCAAACCGAGGGTAGCGACGCCTGAAGTGGTCAGCAAAATAGCGCAGTACAAGAGGGAGTGTCCCTCGATCTTTGCCTGGGAAATTCGGGACAGGCTGCTGTCTGACGGGGTGTGCACCAGCGATAACATACCGAGCGTAAGTGCAAATAACGCTTCATTTGCAAACGTCACTCTGCACTTCTTACGTCAATAAAAAAAGTTGTGCTTGCAATTTAGATAAATAGATACACTTTTACATTTATCCATATTGAAAGAATATACCGGATTATAAATACAAATAACATTCACGGAGAGAGCTACAGTGAAATAATATGCCTCTTTAAGGCTGAAACACACAGCAGTTGAGTGACGGTCTGCTTTATACCTTTTAGGTGTCGTCGATAAATCGAGTCCTACGCAACCTGGCTAGCGAAAAGCAACAGATGGGTGCAGATGGCATGTACGACAAGCTGAGAATGCTCAACGGGCAGACCGGCACATGGGGGACTCGCCCGGGATGGTACCCTGGTACGTCCGTGCCAGGACAACCAAATCAAGGTGAGACAGTCTAAAAGCAATAAGAGCATCACTGTCAGCAGCTGAGTTGGAATAACAATAACACATAAACAACAAAAAGGAACAGCAACAACAAAGCAAGTACATCAAAAATAAATAAATAAATAAATAATAAATAAAAACGGCAAAAAAATAAACAACAAATAAAAAAAATAATTAATTAAGAATAAATAAATAAATTAATGATTATTAATATACATTTTAATATTCTAAATAGTTTTGATAATAATAACAACAACAACAATAACAGCATCAGTATTTATCATACAAATATTAATTATTTGTATTGTTTTTACTATCCCATATTCTACTATAATATTTATACTGAATTTTTATGGCAATATTCAATATAATAAATTGTAATATATATGAAACTATTATTACTAATTAAAAATTGAAAAATGAAAGTATAATGTATATTAAACTTATTACTAATAGTTTAATAACATATATACAGTATATCTATATATGTGACCCTGGACCACAAAACCAGTCATATAGTTCAATTTATCATCTGAAAGCTGAATATATAAGCTTCCCATTGATGTATGGTTTGTTAGGATAGGATAATATTTGGCCGAGATACAATAATTTGAATATCTGGAATCTGAGGGTGCAAAAAAAAATAAAAATCTAAATACTGAGAAAATCGCATTTAAAGTTGTCCAAATGAAGTTCTTAGCAATGCATATTACTAATTAAAAATTAAGTTTTGATATATTTACGGTAGGACATTTACAAAATATTTTCATGAAACATGATCTTTACTTAATATCCTAATGATTTTTGGCATAAAAGAAAAATCAATAATTTTGACCCATACAATGTATTTTTGGCTATTGCTACAAATATACCCCAGCGACTGGTTTTGTGATCCAGGTTCACATATAGTGTATAATGATGTTTATATTATACATTATTATTAATTTAGCATAATAGTATTTTAAGTAACACTTTACAATAAGCTTTCATTTAACAACTGTTAACTACATTAGTTAACATGAACTAACAATGAAAAATACTTCTAAAGCACTTATTAATCTTATTTAATGTTAATTTCAACATTTCCTCATACTTTATTAAAATCAAAAGTTGTATCTGTTAATATTATTTAATGGACCCGTGCTGACACGAACTAACAACAAACAGTCTTATTTTTTAAATAACGGTAAAACAGATGAATAATTACTGTAAGAAATTTACAGCTCTTTGTTAGTTAATGCATTTACTAACATTAACTAAATGGAACCTTATTGTAAAGTGTTACTGTATTTTATTATGAATTCATAGTATTAATTTATTTCTACTGAAAAAGTGTTTGAAATATGTGAAATGTTAAAAAATAAATTTGCAGTCATTAGGTCTAAAAGTCAATCCATCTGGAGACACATTAGATTAATACACAAAATGTAGAATAGCGTGCCACTGGCAAACGTAGATGGGAAAAGGCCACTCGTTAATTGAGGAGTTAGTGCTAATTAATCGCTCATTTCAATACGGCTTCTGTCTGGCTCTTGGATCTGCGTGACTAGGAACAGAGTTTTCGGCAGAGGTGTCCATGCGCTACCACCTGCCCCCTCCCCCTGCCACTGCCCTCCACATCATTTACGCCCCATGGGGAGTGAGAGAAAAGCACTGCGTGTCCTGGGACAAAAGATGTTTCTGTCACATGCAAGAATTTGTGACAGGCACAGCTCTGTCTCTCTGTAATTGCTCATTAGAGGTTGCTTTCTTTGAGGGAGAGAGAGAACATGTACAGACTTTTGGTTAGAGGAGACAATGAAAACAAGTTTAGCTGATGAATAGTTAGTTTCTAATCAGGTTGATGTATCCGAATCCTTCGTGTGGATGTTCACAGTATCACAAACACTATCTTAGAACATTAATATTTAACAAAAAAAATGCAAATGATCACTTACTAAATGCAAATAGTTCACCCCTAAATTTAAATTACTCACCCTGTCATTCCAAATTAGACTTTTAAAGACCTATCATACAGGTTCAAAAGACTTATAGTGTGTAATACTGTATGGACAATTGTTATTGTGCTTTTATATTATAATTATATTATTATGTTGTTATTGTAAATTTATGTTATTGAGCTTAATGACTCCAACTCTGAACAACAAACCAAAAAAAAAAAGATACAAAAATAAATTAATTAAAAAAAATAACAGCATACAGGTTTTTATATAGTTAACTAAAACTGAAAACACTGAACAAATTTTTGTTACTTGAAATAAAAGTTAACTGAAATAAAATATTATAAACAAACACAAACTACTAAAAATGACAAAAACACATTTTTGATACTTGAAATAAAATAAAAGTTAACTGAAATAAAATCAATTATTACACACACACACACACACAGAAAGACAGACACAGACAGACAGACAGACAGACAGACACAGGTTTGTTTTTATGGTTTATGGGGACTCTCCATAGGCGTAATGATTTTTATACTGTACAAACCGTATTTTCTATTGATTTTCTATTCTATAAACCTACCCCTCACAGGAAACTTTCTGCATTTTTAGATTTTCAAAAAACTTTATAAGCCTTTTGAATTACGGAGACACCGAAAATGTCCTCATAAATCACCTTCTCGTTGTAATACCTATGTCATACTCATGTTATTATACAAATTTGTGTCCTCATAAACCACATAAACATGCACACACACACACACACAAAACCTACTAAAAAACAAAACAACAAAATTACTAAAACTTTAAAATTAAAAAAAGAAAACAGACAATCTAAAAATAAAAACTGATTCAAAATATTAATAAATCTATTAATAGTGTCAATGATAGAAAAATAGCACTGGTTTGAAATTACGATTGTGAGTAATTATTATTTTTTTTCTCCATTGTATGTTAACTTTTTAAGTTTATATCTCGCAATTCGGACTTTTTTTGACAGGATTGCGAGATATAAACTCGCAACTGTGAGTTATAAAGTCAGAAATGTGTGATATAAACTCCCAGTTGTGTTATACAGTCAGAAATGCGAGATACAAACTCATGGTTGTATGAAAATGTCAGAATTGTGAGCTGACATTTTTTCTCAGAAATGGACTTGCAATAGCGAGTTTATATCTTAGACATTCTAAGATAGAGGTTAGAATTGTGAGATAATATCACAATTATCTTTTACATTTTTATATTCTGTGGCGGAAACAAGCTTCCATTTTAACCAGATAGTCACTGCAGGTGAAACAGCATGGAATGCACTTGTTCTGATTGGAGAGACTTCTCTATCCCGTGCTAAAGCAAGCAAAGGTCTTTCAATGGTCATCTCCTGTTGAACGTATAAATCCTAACTGGCGTTTAACAGGCCCGGCCTGGGTTCTTTGATTAATGACAGTGGTGTGTAGAGGTTAACATACTGAACTGAAAGCTCTGTTGACTAGATCCTTGTGTTATACAATGCTGAGCACTGCACGCCTCTCTTTTTGTTGTTCCTTTCCAATTGTGCCCTCGGGAGAATTTGAGCCTGACGAAAAAGGCCTGGCTGCCCATCTCTGTCTGCACAGTTTAATGGTTCCCCTCATTCTTCTGGTGGTATTGTGTCATGCAGAAAAGCAGCTCTCTATTCAAGTGTTGGTGGTCACCTCAATAGGTCCCTGGACACCCATACGGTGAATAGCACTAAGAATGCCTATACATTATATGTGCTGCGTATGAAAACATCCAAGGGAGCTTGAGGATGATTCAATGTGTTTCTTTTGGCACTTTGTTACGGAACTATGCAGATAATGCTGACAATTCCTGCCCTGAATCTACAGGCGTATTCACAACAAAGACAAATTATATTATAAAGTAGTGCTGTCAAACGATTAATCGTGATTAATCACATTCAAAATAAAAGTTTTTGTTAACATAATATATGTGTGTGTACTGTGTTTATTATGTATATATAAATACACACACATTAAGTATACATTTTGAAAATATTTACATATATACATTTATATTATTATATTTTATATTATATATAAATATATTTAATATATAAACATAACATGTCTTTGTTATATATATACATGCATGTGTTTGTATTTATATATACATAATAAATATACACAGTACATACTCATATATTACGTTAACAAAAACTTTTATTTTGGATGCGATTAATCGCGATTAAAGGGGTCATATGATGCGATTTAAATTTTTCCTTTCTCTTTCCAGCCCGGGGTCATCACATGTGGTTGCCGCCAGCCTCCTTCGTCGAATCCGCCTGCCGCGCCGTTCTCAAGCCCACCACCTGTGCTCACTCTAGCCCCCCGGCTGTTCCTCACTCTAGCCCCCGGCCTCTGCTCACTCTAGGCTGCCGCCGCCGCTCACTCTAGGCCGCCGCCGCCGCCGTGTGTGATGCTGTGTTTCGTTGTGAAAGCGAAACTACT